GGCAACGGCAGTCGCAGTCACAGCCTCAGCCTCAGCTTGCCTCAGCCTCAGCCTCAGCCTGCCTCAGCCTCAGCCTGCCTCAGCCTCAGCCTCAGCCTGCTTCAGCCTCAGCCTCAGTCTGCCTTCAGCCTCGGCCTCAGCCTCAGCCTGCCTCAGCCTCAGCCTGCATCATCCTCAGCCTCAGCCTCAGCCTGCCTCAGCATCAGCCTGCCTCAGCCTCAGCCTCAGCCTGCCTCTGCCTCAGCCTCAGCCTGCTTCAGCCTCAGCCTCAGTCTGCCTCAGCCTCAGCCTCAGCCTCAGCCTCAGCCTGCATGAGCCTCAGCCTCAGCCTCCTCCGGCCTCAGCCTCAGCCTGCCTCAGCCTCAGAGGCCCCTCAGCATCAGCCTAGCTCATCCTCAAAGGCCCTCAGCCTCAGCTGCCTCAGCCTCTGCTCTGCTGCCTCAGTCCTCAGCCTGCTTCAGCCTCAGCCTCAGTCTGCCTTCAGCCTCGGCCTCAGCCTCAGCCTGCCTCACCCTCAGCCTGCATCAGCCTCAGCCTCAGCCTCAGCCTGCCTCAGCATCAGCCTGCATCAGCCTCAGCCTCAGCCTGCCTCAGCCTCAGCCTCAGCCTGCTTCAGCCTCAGCCTCAGTCTGCCTTCAGCCTCGGCCTCAGCCTCAGCCTGCCTCAGCCTCAGCCTGCCTCAGCCTCAGCCTCAGCCCGCCTCGGCCTCAGCCTCGGCCTGCCTCAGCCTCGGGCTCAAGCTCTTCAGCCTCAGCATCAGTTGCCTTCAGCCTCGGCCAGCCGCAGCCTCAGCCTGCATCAGCCTCAGCCTGCATCAGCCTCAGCCTCAGCCTCAGCCTGCCTCAGCATCAGCCTGCCTCAGCCTCAGCCTCAGCCGTCCTCAGCTCAGCCTCAGCCTGCTTCAGCCTCAGCCTCAGTCTGCCTTCAGCCTCGGCCTCAGCCTCAGCCTGCCTCACCCTCAGCCTGCATCAGCCTCAGCCTCAGCCTCAGCCTGCCTCAGCATCAGCCTGCATCAGCCTCAGCCTCAGCCTGCCTCAGCCTCAGCCTCAGCCTGCTTCAGCCTCAGCCTCAGTCTGCCTTCAGCCTCGGCCTCAGCCTCAGCCTGCCTCAGCCTCGATAACTCCTGTCAATCGCTCAGCCTCAAGCCTCAGCCTGCCTCACGCTCAGCTGCCTCAGCTCAGCCTTCCCAGCCGTCAGCCTGCTCGGCCTCAGCCTCAGCCTGCCTCACGCTCAGCCTGCTTCAGCCTCAGCCTCAGCCTCAGCCTCAGCCTGCATCAGCATCAGCCTGCCTCAGCCTCAGCCTCAGCCTGCTTCAGCCTCAGCCTCAGCCTCAGCCTGCTTCAGCCTCAGCCTCAGTCTGCCTTCAGCCTCGGCCTCAGCCCTCAGCCTCAGCCTCAGCCTGCCTCAGCATCAGTCTGACTCAGCCTCAGCCTCAGCCTGCCTCAGCCTCAGCCTCAGCCTCAGCCTCAGCCTGCCTCAGCCTCAGCCTGCCTCAGCCTCAGTCTCAGCCTGCTTCAGCCTCAGCCTCAGTCTGCCTTCAGCCTCGGCCTCAGCCTCAGCCTGCCTCAGCCTCAGCCTGCCTCAGCCTCAGCATCAGCCTGCCTGAGCATTCGAAATGCGGCCGGGGAGTGGAGTTTTGGGAACTCGAAGAACACGAAGTGGCCTACAGTTGGCTCCGGGCATTCAAAAGCATGCCCAGGAATGGAGTTCTGGGAACTCGAAGACCACGAAGTGGCCTACAGTTGGCTCCGAGCATTCAAAATGTGGCCCGGGAGTGGAGTTTTGGGAACTCGACAAGCACGAAGTGGCCTACAGTTGGCTCCGGGCATTCAAATTGTTTCCCGGGAATGGAGTTCTGGGAACTCGAAGACCACGAAGTGGCCTACAGGTGGCTCCGGGCATTCAGACTGTGGCCCGGGAATGGAGTTCTGGGACCTCGAAGACCACGAAGTTTCTAACTGTTGGCTGAAAAAAGTCCCCGGCAATTCCCCGGATCGCGCTCAGACCCCCCTGGGGCGTCATGATGCTTTTTTTTTACCCTATTATTAGAAATTTATCAGTTTAGCATTAACAGTGACGATCATTTTACTATTTTTTAATCGCTTCGCTCACTCCGCCGGCCCATATTGTGCCATCGCAGGCGTTTGCCTGCGCGTTCGTGGCCTCTTGGGGGCCGTTTGTGGGCCTCTTGGAGCCTCTTTTTGGGCCTCTTGGCGTTATTTCTGGGACCTCCTGGGGCGTCATGTGGGCCTCTTGGGGACTTCTTGGGGGTCTCTTGGGGCCTCTCGGGGGCCTCTTGGGAGCTTCTGGGGAGCCTCTCGGGGCCTCCAGGGGACCTCTCTGCGCCTAGAGCTTGAAATGTCTGTTCAGGTCCCTCGTCTGGGCCCGCTCTTGGAGCCGTCTTGGGAGCCTCTTCGGCTATCTTCAACGTGGCAGCGTGGTTTCAGCTCGGATTCATTGCCTGTCCTTGTACTCCTTCGTGGCCTGTCCTCAGAATCGGCGCCCTCGCGCGCAACGCGCTGCCCAAGTTTCAGAGGCTCTTAGTCTGGGTGTGCGTCGTCAACGTGATCGGCTGGGTGATTTCCGCGCGCTTGCTCAAACCTCTTCAGCGAGACCGTGTCTGGCTTTCTGGCGTTCAAAATCTTTTATGGAGATCTTGGATCGGATGGGGTCATGGAACTCTTCGCCGCTAGTCCCCGCGTGCGCGCCCGCTCGCCTGGCGGCGGTGTGCTCTGCTGCGTTGCCCCGGGCATCGCGCCGCCCCCCGCCCCCTGCGTGGGCCTTCGCAGAGCAGTCGCAGCATCGATCAAGTCCCGGCTGACCCCGCGCCCCACGTGGAATTGCCCACGTGGAATTGCTTCGCGGTGAGGTTCGCGCGCGCTTTCCTTGAGATGCGCCGCGATGGCGCGACCAAGGCCCCCGCGCGCCGCTGGGGTCGCGTTGTCCGCCGCCCGCGCTCCTGCTCGATGCCGCCGCCCCTTGTCTACCTGAAGGCGATTTCCAGTGGCTGCGCCGCGTCGCGCAGGATCTGATCTTCGCAGCCCGCGGCCTTTTTTTTTTTTTTTTTGTTTTTTTTTTTTTTTCTCTTTCTGGATTCCGCTGCAGTGGGCGCCCTGGTGCTCTCAAGCGCTGCCTGGTGCGCCGCCGCTTCCGCGCCGCCGTCGAAGCCGAGCGTGGCTTCTCGCGCCCTTCGTCGGCCTCTGGTCGGCCGGGATTGCCGGGCAGCGCCGTCGAGCGCGCCCGCGTCCTCTCTGACGTTGCCGCGGTGTCCTGCGTGTGCGTCCGTGCCGCTCGCGGCTCCGCCGCCGCCGCGTGGCCCCCGCACTTGGCGCGCCCCCGCGTGGGCATGGGGGCTACGTGTGAACCCCACCCCTACCCCCCGCGAGTTCTGAGGGGGAGGGTGGGGTCCACATCGTTCGGGAGCTCCCGAGCGAAGTGACCCCCCCCCCCTTCAAAAATCGCGGGGGGTCGGGGCAGGTTTCGCATGTGGCCCCCGCGTGGGGGCAGCCATTCGGGCACCTCGTCTGGGAGCGACCTCCTCGATCGAGGTGCCCTTCGCGCCCGGTGCGCGGGGGGCGCGGCGGCCCTTTCCGGCGAGCTCGCCATCTACCTCTTCGACGCCTCGACGTCCAGCAGCGCTTCTTCGGCTACGGGCCCATCCTCTGTTTGGTCTGATCCTCCACTTCCTGGAGTTGATGTATTTTCTGGCGCCGTCGAGATTGCCGCTGGCGCCGGCTCCGACGCCCTGGAGGTGGGGGATCTTTTCGTCGAGGGGCGCGACCGCTGCGCTGGCGCCGAGCGCGGCGATCTCCTCGCTCGCGGCCGCTTGCGGGCTCGCCTTCGAGGACCTTGACCACGACCCAGCGCAACAGGTGCCTGCCGTCGTCGTCGCGCGACGAGCATCTGCCGCGCGATTCTGAAACTGGGCGCGCTGACCATGGCTGTCCATCCCCCGCAGATGCTGACTTGGCGGCGATGGGCGAGACCGACGCGGCGGAGCCTGCCTCGCTTCCTTCACCGGCAATGCACGAGGACGATGCGATGTCCGACGACGAGTTTTTTTGCGGCCTACGTTGGCGCCCGCCTACTGCGTGGGCAGTTGGCGGCTCCTCCTGGGGCGGCTTTTGCTTCGTCGTGACCTGCGTCGAGCTCGTCTGGGCCGCCGCTGGAGACATCGGCGGCGTCTGCGGCATCTGATTGCCTACCGCCGCCGCCGCCACCTGGCCCTCTTTTGCCTGGCCCTCGCGCTCAAGCTGATCCTTGCGAAGTCGCTGTTTTCCAGGAGGTTGGCGCCCCCTGTGGTACTGCTGCGCCACCTGGTTCGCCCTCGGGTTCCTTGGCCTCTTTGCGCAAGCCTGCCTCGAGCTCAGGGGAGGCGACGGCTGCGCCCGATGCTGTTGGTGCTGATACGCTTCGCCCGGCTCTTGGCCCTCCTGCTCATGGTGCTGGAGAAGGGCTTCCCGCGGCCCAGCCTCCTGCTAGACTTCCTCTTCCTGCACCTGCTGCCGCTGCGCTGCGCCCCCGTGTGCATTGGCGTCCCGCTGTTGGACTTACAGGTGACGGGCGTGCGTTGGGCCCCACGGCTGCTGGCTTTGGGCAGTGGGTGTTGCGTGGCGCAAGGTATCATGGGCTCGCGCCTCGCGCTCGAGGCACTTTCGAGATGCGCTCTAGTTCCGCGCCACTACTCCCTGCTGCTGCCGATGGTGAATTACCTGCTCAAGATGTGGATGAAGCAGGCTCTGCTGCCGATAGTGATCTACCTGCCCAAGATGAGGACGACGCAGTCGTGGGTGCACAGCTTCACCCTGACCAGCTGGGCGCTCGGCAGTTGGCTTTCGCCTGCGTCGCCCTTGACCACTTCTGCCCCTCGCTCTCTGTGGACCAGCGCGGCATGGTCATGTGGCTCCTGCAGAACCCAGACTGCCTCCTGGAGCAGAGATCCGAGGAGAACGGCCCCATCCCGGCCAGCGCGCCGCTGGACCCCGCCGGCATGGAAATGA